TGACACTTTTCAGATTTTAGTCCAAAAAGATAAGGAATGAACCTATTAATTCGCCTAAAAGATGTAAATTCGCCTTGGTTGGGCGATTTTGAATTAGCCGTTTGTTTACATTTGTTCGTTTTTTACAATTTGGAGGTGGCTTTTAACTGCGATTTTCTTCATTTTCGCTTGTGACAACGTGTGTACACATAAGGTTAAGAATAATTTAAAACGACATGATTTATAGAAGAATTTTCGTAATAAAAATGATTATTCATGCGTTCAACAATTGCGCGGCTTTCCGTGTTCTCTATGTTGTTTACTTCGTACAACAAAGATGGCGTCGAGATTTCGACAGCTAGAAAATAACTTTTTTCTTTCTTTCGTTCGCGCGTGATCTTGTGTCTTTAGTTCATGGAAGCAAACACATCCACCTTTGGCTTACAATTGGATTCGCCAGCTCAGCATGAAGAAGACTGCTTTAATTAAAAAAAAAAAATTATATATGTTTGTTTAGTTTTTTTTGCTGACACAAGCAAACACAACAACCAACACAAAGCAAAAAGATGACCAACTCTCAACTTTTCACGTGCGTCGCTCGTCAACTGTTGCAAATAAATAAAATTAGGTGAAACATTTTTCCTTTTCAATCAAGTACGGACAAGAAATTTCGTTTTTAAAGCAATTATTGATAAAAATATTAATTTATCTGTCGTTAGTATGTTCATTTAGTTGCCCAAGCATTCGCTGCCAAGCGTTCATTGTAGCAAGCATACTTTAATCGTGCGTTCTGTCAAACCAACGCCAAAGCCAACGCGAAAGTTCTATGTGGGCCGGTCTTAAGTGCACATACACAGCATTTATACGCTGGTCACGTTAATAAAACCTCACTCATACTAATAGGTTTTCGGTAGTGGAATCTCTATTGAAGCTTGAAATTGCGGAGCTCAAACAACAGGTAAGAAGCTTGAAATAAGAAAAAAAAGCTTTGACAAATACATTAGAGGAAGCGAACGCGGCGCTGGATAATTAAAAAAAAAATTCCACCGAAGGCCAAATGCGTAAAACGTTTATCCCAGGTAGGTACATGTCTTGTTTA